ACTTTCTGCCCAGTTTGACCCATTTAGCAGAAGTCAGCCTGTTTAAGGCTCTGATATCTATTCTGGATGACTTACAGCAGTCATGACATGGTCTGATTTTCTCACAATAAAGGAATATTTAATATATCAGTCTACTCTTCATTCTATCAGACAGTTATCACAGCTTGTACATTTTCTTTTTTTACACATATATGTAAGCATTGAGCCAAATTTAGTAATGCCAACAAATTAAACGAACAATATTTGTCTCTTATGTCTGATACATCTATATATACACTGTCAAAGGTACTTGTCTTTGAGTAAAGATTTAAGGTGATAGGACATTTGAATAAATGCAATTTGAATCTTTACTGAAGTTCAAGCTCACTGCTGTAATATATCATAATAATCTGACAATAACTATAATATTGGCCATTTTATATTTACATTACCAAAGTGAGATGACTTTAGTCTCATGAACAACAAGAGCTAATTGTTATTTACTAACTAATCTTGAAATGACTGTTCAGTACAGAAATGAAGCCCAACAATCATGTTTTAGAGTCCTGTGGTCTCAGCCTCAGATACTCAACTAATCAAAGTGAAGTCATAAAAAAAATGAACGGACAAAACATTTTTTCTCCTTCATTTCTGTCAAACAAAGCCGTATGAAACGTTTCTCGCGGTTTGTATCATGGTTGCTAGGCAACCTGAGCAGTGCGACGAAGGCTAGACCGTCCCATTTCACAACCTCTCACTTCCGCACTTCTCGTACTTCCTAGTACGCGCCGTTCCTAGTACGCAAACTGTGCATACTCCAAAGCGTACGGTCACTGGATTGGGACACAGCCGCAGTCTCCAGTATCATAGCTGTGTCCAAATTCAGGGGCTGCACCCTTTGGAGACTGCATTTGGTGGCCGATTACATTACAGCGACACGAGGAAGGCTGTCCAAATTTGAAGACTCCGACAAATGCGTCCTTCATTTCCCCAGATTTCAAGGATGGGTCGGGTGTATCCTTCGTTGCCCAACCTATCCCAGAATTCATAGCACGGCCCAGCCAATTCCAGTTTCCAACAATGATGGCAGCTACTTAGTTTTAATATTACTCTTTCTGGGTCACAAAATAAGGCGAGAATTCAGCTGTGTAAACTTCAAATATCTGATCAGTTTATCAAGACATCACATTTTTGCAAAAGTGCACCATCATTTTCATTTTCAACATTTATCAGTACATAGAAGACACTCTCCAGGATACATTTCAAAAGCAGAATGAATCAAATGTGTAACAAAACATCTGTCACTCACCTTCTTTCGAACATTGCAGCGATGACACATCCATTCCCCTGGAGGAAGCATTTCTTCACTCAGAGGTGGGTTGCTGTCATAAGAAGACAGAAATTAAATATTTAATAAGATAAAATGAATCACAATTTCTAATTCCCATTTCATTCAAATGAAAAACTGATTGTATCCCATTGTTTTGGTATCAAAACAAAGGTCTAGCTTCTTCTGTCTCCATCTGGTGGGCCAATGGCTGCATTACAACAAAAGCATCCACACAGTGCAAAGCAATGGCAGTTACCAATGTTACATTTTCATTACAGTAGCTGACACATTCATTAATAATCAATTGCTCCCAATGTTTTACACTACATACTGCCCACATTCAAGAACACTTTCATCAGAGCCACCTCATTTCACCTTACCATTTTTTAAATTATGTCTGGTTAACTGTTACCTTGGTATTTCCATCACTCATCTGCTACTTGCAACCACCATCCGTTTAACAGTTATTCATAAAATTACACTTAGTGACCAAACTGAACCTTCTATCTATTATGCTTTGTTACTCCTTTCTTTTTAACTTGCATTTTTAACCATGGTGGTGCAGTGACTAGCACTGTTGCCTCACAGCAAGGAGCTCCTTAGTTTGATTCTACCACCTTTCTTTGTAGGGTTTGCATGTTCTCCCCGTGTTTGCGTGGGTTCTCTCTGAGTACTCTGTCTTCCTCCCACAGTCCAAAGACAAGCACTTAGTGAGGTTAGGTAAATTGATGATTCTAAATTGCCCATAGGTGTGAATTTGAGTGTGAATGGTTGTCCATCTCTACGTGTTCGCCGTGCGACAGACTGGCGAACTGTCCAGGGTGTACCCTGCCTCTCGCCCTATGGTAGCTGTGATAGGCTCCAGCTCCCCTAGTGACCCTGACCAGGATAAGCGGAAGAGACTGGCTGCATACCGTTAGTTTGCTTGTAGTAAGCTTATTTAACTACTTTTTCCTCTTTACTCATTATTATTTGTCTATTTTAACAATTTATTCATTTCTATAGGCTGTTTGTTTCTATAGTTTCTAGTCAACTTTAAACTTTTTTTTTGCTGATGCATCTGGTGTATGAATTCATAATTGCAGAATTTAGCATAAAAATTGGACTAAGAAATACAAAACATATCCAGTAAAATGACAACAATAATACATTCCTCCACAGATTAAAAAAATGAAACAAGTTTTTTTTTAATGATACTTTTGTGTTTGAAGTGGTCACATGTGAGATGCGCTATGCATGGCACTACTGAGTTGTCACCCCATGTAACACTGTCTTTTACATTGTAGACATTAAAGCAGCAAAATTCGTCAATACATATTTAAAATGTGAAGGCGTCCACAGGTGAGGCTATATATGTACAGACGGGTTTTACACGGTTTTCAGGTGACAGTCTGGACTCAATTCTTCCAAATACCAAAGTAATACAGAAAAAATGATACGGGCATTTATTTATCGCTGCGGCACCGAAATTACCTCAACAAACGCTGTTATACCCGTCCAAAAAAACTGCGGAATATTTCATCCGTATTATTAATGCACCCCTTTTCCATCAGAGTTGATTTTAAAGGTTTGTAAGATGGCGGTGGAAGAAGGGGGGAAAGAGCAACGAGGTCGCCATATTGTAAACAGAGGCTACATTTTTACCAGCAGCTCCGCTGGCTGCAGCCTCGGCAGGAGGGGAGGACCGACTGCAAGCTAATTCTAGCCTCTTGCAGATACGACATATTTAAGCATTTATTCAAACTCCTGTATGTTATATTTTCATTAGCGACGCGTGAAAATAAGTTTGCTATACACTTCCAAACTATATAAAGTCCAAAAGTCAGTATACAAGATAGACGACTGGGATAACGGTGCACAGTCCTCCCAGAGCAAGAAAACATTCTGCTCTGTTACTTTAATTATCAGTTCCTATCTTAGATCACCAAACGTCTTTTAATTAACTTCAACTGCTTTATTTCCTGAGATTCTGACAATGTGTACAAGTAAATTCGACATGCAAGCAGCTTCCAGAGAAAAATGGGAGTTAATAATAAACCTTACAGAGTGCAACACAGCGGCTAAAGCCGGCCTCCATGGTTAACGTGAACGGAGAACACAGCGGGAATTTCGGAAGAACAATTGATCGTTAAAGTCGACTTTTCATTGATATAAGCGTGAGCTTTTGTAGCGAAAAAACTATGAGGCAAAATGAAATCATTTAACAGATCATTTCTTTACACATTTCAAATCATGTGTCTATGAGAATCGGAACCACCGCGAAACGGTAACCGAGGACAATCACTTGAGTTAGCATTCAGCCATCTTTACACATAACTGACGGGGACTAGCAGTTATTTCCGCTTGTTTTACTGACTCTGTGCGTGTTCTTCAGTCAAATAACTTACCAGCACTGGAGATGGAAAGCTGCAGGACAGTGGTCACAGCACAGCAAGTCTCCCCCTTCCCTGCAACTATCGCAGGTGTCGTGGTTAGTCGCCCTGCCGCTCCTCCGGACGTCCCTCACCAGTTTCCGACTCCGTTTCTCTACCTCGTCTGACTTCGGGGGCGCCAGCAGTGTTTGAATTTGCTGCAAAAGTTGTTCAGCTGTTTAGTTTGACATCGCGGCTGTCCTTTGCTTGTCTAGTGTCCGCTGTGACGTTTATAGAGAGCGGTAACAGTAATTTGTGGCCTCCGTTACCAAACCGAATTAGCTAGCTAAGAGCTTGACAGCGGACTACAGTGATGATGACAGCTGCGATTCAAATTTGGTAAAATATATTAAAGTGTTAGCAACAGGGGAATGTTTCGCTTAATTAAGGCCTTAGACATAGCAGCCTTACCTCCATTAAGCCCCCAGAGGTATCCAAATCGTACACAATCGTTGGGGTCTCCATTTTGTCCCACATTCATCCAGAAAAAAGACTTTGCAAAAGGAATTTGCGAACCAAGTGCCTCGGTGCTCACAATAACCACGATAAATCCTGTAAGAGATTACTTCCCGAACGTTTTCGGTCAGAGGATGTCTGGTAAATCGACGTTAGCTATCGTTAGCTGCCCAAAGGAGCTAGCTAGGCAAACGTCAACCAGTCAAGGTTGTGAAGCTAGCGGTCTCACTAGCTGCCGTGGTTGGCCATAAAAAGGTAACAAAAATGACGTCTAACTATGTAGTTAAAATACTGATTCCTTAGCACCACTTTTTATGTGTAAGTGCCACGAAAACATACAGAATTTTCTATCAGTAGACTACTGCTCTTAGCTACACAATCCATCTGCGGCCTAGCTGGCCAGCCATGATTCTTGTTTCTGCTCCTGCAAAAAGGAGCGCTGTAAATCTGCAAAGCCCTCCGCTCCCATTGTCAAAACAAAATGTAACCAAACAATCCAGGAGAAAACTAGATGTAGTACGGCCCAAAACCTGGTTTCCGACAGCGTCCGGAATGTATAATCCTCAAATCAAGTATGTGGAAATGCAAATTTGGTTGATGTTATTGTTGTGAAAAGGCTGTGCATCTACACTGGCTGCTAGCAACATCCTTACAGTTGGCGCAACCGCGCACACCGGACACGCATGCGTATTGGAACGGATATAGATAATTACGGATGCATTATAACGAAGCGGTAAAACATTGTCTACACCTTGTTTTGAGTGGCACTGACGTTTTGAAGTTATTTTATTTGCTATGACTTTCCCTGTCGGTTGCCTTATGGCACTACTCATTACTATTGTGCCCACGTACTTGTGCTGCTACGAGAGTAGCATTAACTGCTTCTTGCTTCAATAGCTTTATTGTTTGTTAAAGAACACGACTCGTGTAATTTGCACTTCTGCTACAATAGCGTTTCAGCTGCTCAAATGGCCATCTTAATTCTTCTTCCGCTTGCTCAACATGTAGTCTATGTAGACAGCATCCATCCATTCTCTTCCGCTTATCCTTATCGCGGGGTGGCTGGAGCCTATACCAGCTGGCTGGAGCGTATATCAGCTGGATGACAAGTCAGTTAAGCTAACAGAAATGTTCAGATCAATTCAAACCAATTTAGTTTTAATTATATAGCACCAAATCACATCACCTGTCACTGTCTTCAAAGCGCTTAGTTATCGTCTACCAATCAGACTTTTCTGACAGAGGGCATTGTGTATTTTGCAATTAAAGTCCTCACTGGGTTAAGCTGCTGAAGTCTGAAACACATTCTTTAATTAAGAGAGGACCAGATTGTGCAAAGTGAAACGCTGAAGTAATGCACAGATCATTAGAAAACAAAGACATCCAAAACATTAACAAATCAATAATCCACCACTATATTCTCTTAAACCAAAGATTTATTTAAGAATGTATGAAGCCCTAATTTACTTATTTTCCATCTAGCACATAAATAATATAAGTTCTCACATAAATAAAATTTGTATTTATTGCAGGTTTATCTGGTTTTTGTTAACCAGATCACACCAACTATAAAGTCTGACCACATCCCAAAACACTACATGTAGGGTAAAGAATATGTTTGTGTGGGACACCTTACTAATGCTGAGAGGTGATGAAAACTGAATCTAGAAACAAAAAAACAAAAACAAAACTATGCTAGTTAACAGTTTGGCATCAGTTATGTGAAGGACATATATACTGCCATTTATGTGAATGAAAATGTCCAATCTTAAAATAGAAAATGTCTATGTCTATCATATGTCTATAATATGATAGATGTCTATCATATTAAGTATTAAATATTAAAACTGTTTAAATATATTTTAGCAGCCAAACTGTCTGTTTCAGTTTTAATAGCAATTAATCCATAGGTCAGCACACGGACTGATTCTTGGTAAATGGACTGATTGTTATTCAGCACGTTTCTGTTCTTGCAGAGAGCTTATAGCACATCAGTTCTGGACCACACTTTTTCATCTTGGTGTTCTCTGTTGCAAACTAGAGCACATTAAATGTGGGGCATTGCATCAATATATGGGACTGGTAGACAAGGAATAAAAATGCTGTGCAGGCCCACTTAAAGTAGGCGCATGATCGCAACATCCACAGCAAGTAAAGGTCCTGCATTTAAAGTCTCGGTAAAATAGAAGTATTTAGATATTAAGGTAAAGATAGATATAGTTTATTTATCCCAGAACTGGGAAATTTTTATGTTATAGTAGTTAATGTTTGACTTAAATCAAAAAAATCTAAATAACTTAAATAAGTAGTGTGGTGTGCGGCTTAATAAAATCTTAACAATTAACAACAATAATAACTAGTTGAAAATAAAATTAGGCACAATAAAGTAAAATAAGTATAACTTTAATTAGTGATATATAACTAGTAAAAATGTCCATCCATTCATTCATTAATTTTCTGCTGTTTATCCAGGTTCACGTTGCGAGATCAGCAGTCTAAGCAGAGATTTCCCTCACAACAGCCACCTCTTCTATCCGGGGTGTCTCCCCTCATCCGGGGAATACTGAGACATTCCAGGCCTGCAGAGATGTGTGATCTCTCCACTGAGTCCACTGCCCAGAATACCTCACCTATAGGAAGCATCCAGGAGGCATCCTAGTCAGATGCCCAAACCACCTCAACTGGCTCCTTTACAATTTCCCTTTCAAAACAAAAGCAACAACAAAAATAGAACATTAAAACTGGCTAGCTAATTGTTGGTCTTCTACTTCACCTTGTTGTCAGTGTGGGCACTAGGTACCACCTCAAAATCCTGGATAGGCACAGGCTGTAGTTGTTTTCTTCCTTCTGAAGTTGATGATCTCTGGTCTTACTCGGAGATGATTTCTTCCAGACCACTCCACAAAATCATCCTCCTGCTCCTGTCCATCACGTATACATCCAATCACTGTAGAACTGTCAGAGTAGTTCTGTTACCCAGAGTTGTACTGAAAGCCTGAGATGCACAAGTTGAACAGGAATGATGAAGGTGGCACTGTATGTTGTGCCAATACCCAGTGACACTGGGCAGTTATCAGAAAATTGCATGTTAGTACTCATTGTGCAGAAAAATGTTTATTTTCATATCTAATATATTTAAATTGATATTACTGCAAAATTAATGTGCATGTTGCGTTATATTTAATTCATTTTAACCACTTAGGTTGTTTACTCTAGATCTATGCATCTTATTCTATATGGTAATGTAGCATTATTCTGCTTTAAGAATCATATATATTTAAAAATTTCAGCAAGCTCATACCTTTGCCTTCAACTCTGACATTTTCTAGCAAATCTAAGAAGGGCTTTATATATATATTGGCTGTTTTTTTAATGGGGCTGATTCTAATAAAATGGTTGCCTTGGAGAGAGGAAATGTTTGCAATTTTAATCTATAGTGGACAGAATTACCATGAATGATGGGTAATTGCTAACCCTTGCCAGCAGAGGGAGGCACTGCTCAGTTGTATTTGAGTAGCTGGCAAAATGAGTTTTCATGCTGGTAGTTAGCTTATGTCAGGGGTGTCGAACTCCAGGCCTCGAGGGCCGGTGTCCTGCAGGTTTCAGATCTCACCCTGGGTCAACACACCTGAATCACATGATGAGTTCATTACCAGGCC